TTACGGTTCCTTGAGTGTGCATATACGCATAAATACACAAACTTTATTTGCTAAGTTGAGTCATGAAGAAAAGGCAAGATGTATAAAAAGTTACATTGATTTGAGGACCAAACTATCCTCGACAAAGTCTTTATGGTAACAGTTTACAATAACGTTCAGTTTAGTATCATTAGTCAATGCAACAGGTATTATGAACTAAGAATGAACAATACTTTTACTAACATCTGTTTACATGTATCATTTTTCAATTGATTTTGGTTGATGTTAATCTTTATTTTTTTACATCTTCAAACTAATACATGTATAATAATTATATAACATATTATATCTGTATTGCTTTATATATATATATATATATATATATAATATTAAATAGAGCAAAATATATACAAATAGTTTTTACTTTACATTTATAAATATATTATACATATTACAAATTAAAATGAGTTAAACTAATACATACAATAAAAAGTGATACATTTCAGTGAAAAGAGTATCACCCATTCTTACCTGCTCGGGGCTCATCTTCTGAAGCTCCTCCTCCCAGGCGTCCTGTTGGCTGCGGTGGTATGCGGAGGGCGGGGCCAGGTTCTGCAGGATGTGGGGGTCTCTCTCGTGGCACAGGGCCGTGAGGTGGCTGATGTACAGTTTCAGCTTACTGCGGTTTTGATTGAGGTCTATGAGTGGGGGGATAATCTGTCCAAAAACAGGAATGAGGAAATGGGTTAGAGATAAAGAGTCATTTTAATCTCAGTTTTCCTCTACCGTTCAAGAATGAGATATCTGGACACGAGCCAGGGAGATAAAACGGCGGGTATGCAGACACATGCTAAAATGACACGCAAACAACACTTTTAGCAAGCCAGAACACAGAGTTCAAATTCAGCTTTATCTCATATGATTGTATTCAAAAAGAAGGAGGGGAAAAAAGAACAATATTCAGTGAAAGGTTGTGGATGATTATGGATGATAGACCACAGCTGAAACACATGAATCACAGTGAGAACAGTGGTATAATAAAAATGTGTCAGGAGAAACATTCCCATTCCAGAAACACAGACAAACAATCTGTTACCTGGACCGCTGCCTACAGATGCCCGGTCTTTACAAAACATCTCTATACACACAGCAGACACTCACACGGCTTTTCCATATCCATCAAAATAATACATACACTTCTGTGGGAGAAAATCCAGAAACCATGTCTTTGTGCCATGTGTGTATCCTACTGGCTTCAACAAAGAATTCTGGTACAATGCATGATTGAGCCATCACATTTGTTTTCACATCAATCTAAAAATGAGATAAATAGAAAATCTGTTTCGATATGAATGAGAGTTTGTTGTATGCTTTATTTTGCATGTCGTTGCCTAGCAGTTAAAGGCCTGAACTGGAGCGAAACGCTGTAGGTTCATAATATAATATAATAATATAATATAATATAATATAATATAATATAATATAATATAATATAATATAATATAATATAATATAATATAATATAATATAATATAATATAATATAATATAATATAATATAATATAATATAATATAATATAATATAATATAATATAATATAATATAATATAATATAATATAATATAATATAATATAATATAATATAATATACAATATAACATTCAGTACAATTACCT